AACATATTGGGCAAGCATTCAAACGAAATTTTAATAATGTTGACATTATAATAATAAATTTATTTGTAGAACAGGTATTATATTTATTATTATAGTAATTTTTGAAATTGGAACAACAATGTAATTTAATTTATGACGTAGATATTGTATCAATATTATAGTAAATAAAAATTCAAAAATATATTTTTTATATACCGAACATGCCGAAAAAATTACCGGCCGAAAACTTTTTCGGCTAATTTTTTTATAGGTGTCCCAGGAATAATGAAAACAGCTGTAAATACGCATTGATCGACAGAATGCCAATTCGGGTTTGGCTTGAGGTGAAGAAATAGTAAGACGCCTCTGATATTCAGTAGTGGGAACTAATGCCATAGTCATAAATTAATTACTCATCGTTAGTCTTAGATTCCCCGATACTTTAAATAGTCATATTGGTTAGAGATTTTAATCGTTGTAGCAAAACCCCAAGGTTATCTGTAATGCATAAAATAACCATTGACATCATGTATCTGAAATAGTGAAGTATTATAATAATAAAGACCATCTAACGATAGCTAATGACAGTAGGATCCTTGGTTCTCGGACCAAATCTTTCGATTAGCCTTGTCTTTTTGGTTGTAAATTATAGTCACCCCAGATTCGTCCTTTTACAACGCTCAATAAGTACACTCCCTCTAATAATACCTTGTGTCTCAGACCAATAAACTAATAACTTTTTAAAATTCACTTATGCCCAATCCTGCGGGGTCACTGACTGCATATTAGCCTCATTGGCCCAATTTTTTCTTCTTATTTAGAACTTTGACAAATTGGTGATTTGTAAGTATAAAAGATTAATGAACCAACATTAATAATCATAAGTATGCAAATATTGCATTACTGGAATTGTTAATGTTTATTTACACTTTAACCTTCATATATCTTAAAATTACTTCATTACATAGTATAATAACAAAATACTGTGAAATGAATTTTATGGCAAATACTGCATCAATTTGGATTGTTTATTTATAGCCCCAAAAAATTCATGAATTTTAAAGTCTCTTCATTACCGATTATCTTTAATTTGATACGAAAAACAATAATTGTTTGAAAAATGACTACCACCGCTAAACCTTACGACATTTCCGATCTTACCGATAAAGATGGAGAGTTTCGAAGGTCTGTATTTCAATATTTATTTATAAAGTTGTAGTAGATAAAATCTATTAATCTCAATGATCATATAATTACAGAAAGCCCTCTACTTTTCGCAATACGATCAGTAAAGATCCGAATGCAATTTTTACTCCTGAAAAGTTAGTTCATTACATTGGTATTATAGCCGTGAGTGTAATTTATTATTTAAGTTGTTATTTTTCTATTGTACCTGTAATATATAGAGATCGTTATCAATTGTATGTTAGTTTGGGTTGTCCATAGGTACGTACGTTTATATTTATCCTCAATACTTTATGAAGTATCATTCAAGTATTTCTAAATTCATTTTTTATCAGCATCCTCAACTAACAGGCCATAGAACTCTCATCGTACGATCTTTGAAAGGGCTTGAAGACATTATTGGATTGAGCGTTGTTAATTATATTTTTGGTGACAAAGGATGGAAATTTAGTACTCCCGAAGAAACTCCTGGATGTATTCCAGACACTGTAAACAATGCTCAATATCTTAGTGAATTATGTTTCAAAGCTAACCCTGATTATGAAGGAAGGTTTGAATCCAAAATTTGGATAACTCGTTCTTTGCTATTATAGTCTACAATGAATCGAGTGAGATAATCCGCATTTTTAATGATGCGTTCGATGATTTCGTTCCAGAAATAAAGGGCAAAACTTTTATCCAAAACATCTTTCAAGCGAAATTGACAAAATAAATGATTGGATTTATAATAAAATTAACGATGGTGTTTACAAATGTGTATTTGCTGAAACTCAAGATGTTTATACGTACGCATTTTGCAATTTTTTTTTTAATCCTTAGAATTAATTGTTTGCATTTTCTATCAACAGATATGAATCATATTGGGCCTCTGTTCGAAGCTCTGGATGATGTAGAAGCCATTCTTTCCGAAAATTATTTCCTTGTTGGAAATACCTTTACTGAAACTGACATCAGACTTTGGACCACAATTGTTAGGTGATATATATTTTAAAATTTCTATAGTTTTCATTATTGACTGGTATTAAGAGAAACTTGATAGTTACATATCACAAATATATTCAAAAATTACATAGATTTGATCCAGTTTATCACACGCTTTTTAAAACAAACTTGAAAACTATTAAACATGACTATCCAAACATTCTTCGCTGGGCTAGGCAAATTTATAAAATTCCTAAAGGTAAATAAATATGTTTTTATTTCATCAAATTAATTAATATTAAGATACACTGATAATCATTTTTAACATTCTTTAAGTTGCTGATACTGTCAATATGACCCACATCAAAAACGGTTATTATAAAAAAATGAAGAAAATCAATCCATATGGAATTGTTCCTGTTTATGATGGACCTGGTACGTAAATTTTTTCATAAGATACTAATCAATGAATTAATATTTTTTATTTCCAAAATTCATATGGTTTTAATTTCCAGATCTTAATTTATAAGGATGGTTTTGACTTTTGCTTTATTAGCCTATAATTAATTCAAAATTCTTTATAAATATTTAAGAAAACAGTTGATATGAGAAATAAAATTTTATATAACTTATTATTTTTATATTTTACGATCTAACTTAGAAATTGAGAATTTTTTACAAGGTAATCTAGGTTGAAATCATCGATGCTGTGCTGGCATTAAACAATACTAGTCAACACAGTCTATAAAATGAATGGGCGATGACTTTATTGTAAAGTTTTTAATGCGCTTGGCAAAATTGATCAATCCCGGCCCCGCCGATGAGGATTCTGATATATCCTTATACAGAATTATATAATTAATCTATATTGCTATTTAAAATTATACAATACGGGACAACATAAACCGCGCCAAATTTTAGGATTCATAATCAATTTGATTTGCTGATTTTATATAATCAATTGTGATTGGTTAAAAATAATATATAACTTTTTTTTATATATTGTCGCGGAAGATGAAATTTAAGGTCTCCTTTTAAAAATAAGACCTACTAAAATCTTCTTATAAAAACTCTAACCCTATATTCTAACCTAACCCTAAAAAAAAGAGCTAGGAATATACATCCTAAAAAATTCTAAAATTTAAATAAGGTCCAAATTTCACCATCATCCGATTTCACGATCATGTGATATATATTAAATGCCAATTAGTAGACTTTATATAATAATCGGGAAAATTTTTGAGACTTTAGATTATCTGTTGTTTTATATTTTCTACCGGTTACGTTTATATTACTTTAAATCAATAAATTCTTAAAATCGATTCCTTCCATCAAAAGTTCTTTGTCCGGTCTAAAGATATCTGATGCTTCAGTATACGGTTGACCCTAAAATCTCAGATGTTATATACCTTTAGAAAGTCCAAGTTCAATAATATATTGATATTGCAGATTATCTCCTTGCAAAATATTTCCGCTGTGTAAATTTCTGTGAACAAGTTCCTGAGAATGAATTGACTCGAGATCCAAAGCTATACCGTATAAAATATCCAACTTATTCTTCCATTTCAATTGCGTTATTTCCATAATATTTTGTCATAACAAACCATTTGGTGCAATCTGCATAACAATAAAATATTGCCAGAACTATTTCTTGATACTCCAAATAATTCAAGAATGAAAGACTCTCATAGTCAGTTTCGCGTAAATCTTCAATTCCCGGATAAATTATTGTACATTTTCGTTTGAATCACGAATCACTTTAAGTTCAACATCTCTCCATGTACTACTAATTCTATCGAACTAACGTGCGAAATATACAGTTGCGAATCCTTTTTGCCGATATCTCTGAGTTCCTTATTTATCAATCCATGATAATTAAATCTCTCATTGTTTAATATTTTTTAAGTTCAGGATTGATATGATCAGGTGATTTATTAGCTTTCAAAAGGCTTTATATTTTCTGAACCAATCATTGCCTCCTGGATATCTCTCTTTGCGCCAATACCGTTTCGATAAAAATTGAACAATATAACTCGTTGCTAACTATTAATCATTTTTGATAATACTCAAATGCTTTATTACAATCTTGATCGATCCTTCTATATTCATAACAAATACCAACACTACACATTGCATAAGCATCACCCAAATCAGCCGGCTTACAATTCAAATGATTTCTGGTAATTTCTTTCTACTCCAGTTTATTAATCATCGAATTTGATTTCCTAACTCAGCTGCTCTCATATAATATTCAAAAACCTTCTTTTTGTCTTTGTTAACACCAGCACCACATTGATAATTGTAACCAAGTGGGCGAAGTTGATTAGATTCCTTTTTTTAAAAAAAAAAATTCATGCGCAAAAAAATACATTAATTGCCCGAAGCGTAGCAGAGGACATTTATTGTTTGTCAAAGTGATACAAAAAACCCATGTCAATAATTACGTTTTTGATATTAGTTGACTTGTAATTTTAAAATTTTTCACGTCTGCCTGCATGAAGTCGTCATTAAGTAAAATATCCAATTTTGCTACAGACTTGATTGGCTAGTTTACCAATACATTTCATCCGAAATTTTCGGGTATTGTCCCGTAAAAATCTGGTGGATGAATATTATGATTAAAAAAAGTCCTATGTTTGATATTATGAAATTCTTGATCATATGTACTATGCTATAATAAATTTCAAAGCATTAAAATAGATATTTAAGTCTTCATTAGCATTGTAAACAAAATGCAGACATTAGTGATGATTATATTTATGAAGCACCACTTTTCAATTATTATTCACTACTTGTAGAAGGATTATGCTGCAGCTTTTTTGTTATTATCAATAGATTTCAATAGGTTTGTTATCCTATGATATTTACAAACTTCTTTAATAATTTCCATTAAGGCGAGCTGGAAGAAATAAAGAAATATCTAAAGAATAAAATGTTAAAAACTTTGCATTATAGAATTTTAACATAAGTATAGTGATGGGAAAAATGCGCATTTTATAATAACATGTAGCACGTTATATAAAATGCGCATGATATAATTTTTGGAATTTATATTTTCCCTTCGGAAAATATCGGATACGTGCTCAAATTTTTACATTAATCTTGCTCTTCTTTTATTTTCTTTTTGGAATTTTTTCGAGACTTTTACATCCATATTCCTTAATTCCGCCCGACAATACGCTCCCTGGCCTAAGTTATACATACTTTAATTTTCCTATATAAAATTTAGATGGGATGAAATGCGCATTAATGCGGAATCATGCGCACGCATGAAACCCATCTCTACATAAGTAATTCAGAATTTTGAAGTTTCATTACCAGCTAAAATATTACAACACACAGTACTTGAGTGAAATCCAAATTCAAGAAAGACAAATACGTTAAGCCTACACAAAAGATAATATTAATTAATAGACGAATAACCTTATAATTATTTATGAGAAAGTCCACATGTGTAGAAAAGTTTAATTCTCTTATTCCTTTATCAGTAACACATATATATCCAACGTCAAGATATTATAATTTCCTATTAGCTAATGAAGATTTATGAATAATAACCAATGATACATTCTTGATATGCGTTTTATTTAAACTAAGATGGGTAAGTCCAACTTCACATCTGATATCATGTTTTACATGCTGCGAATCATTAACAGAAGCAGAACCACCTGCACCTGTACAGCTTCAACAATACGTTGGCTTTTTTCTTCATTTGTGGAATGAACACGATTTACCAGCATTTCATAAATTTCAAACTAATTTATATTTAATATAAATATTACCATCGATGAATTTTGCAGCTGCAAAATTGGTTGATTACGTATTTGTTAAGTGGTAATAATTTGGCAAGAATACTAGAGGAGAAGCATTGATCAGAATTCCTACTTTTTGAATTAAATAATTTGAATAAGATTCCATTCCAATATACATCTGTACCTTTGATCACTGTATAAAAATTTTTCGCTCAAATATTTGATGATCAGTGTTTATCATTTCATCAACCCCAATAAAAATCCCACGAAAAAAAAATGAAAAATGCCAAATATCAGGTAAATAGACAAATTAATTTGTATCGGGTTACCGATTTTTGTGTTTGAAATTCTTGCTTTTAATAGATATTGCTTATGTTTGCGGTTCTTTTGTACGTAATATGTATTTGCGCGCATGTGTTTATTTGTCGATTGCTATTACGTATAAGTAGGGATGGAAAAAAAACGGTTTAAACAGTTTTTTAGATGTTTTAAAACTTTTTAAAAAACTTTTTAAAACATTGGCGCTGAGACTAAATTTAA